TCAAGAGATGGCAACCCTGTTGAAGATCGAAAAGTAATGGAAATGAACTGAAACTGATATTTATTGAATAATAAATAATCTCAAAATAAATTTGTATACTCAACGTCTGCATTGAAATTTACACCTGAATGTATGGATCATGGTCATATATTGACTCGTCTTTTGATTGGTCAGGAAGTATTAGGATAAGTTGCACTCACTTTTGAATGAGGCATGCGACAGTAGAATATTGTGATCGATTCGTATATTACCCTTTGAGTATGGACGATGAGAATTTCTGCTCTGAAATTTCGGGTTCTGAATAGGTTTTAAAAACATTACCTGTTGATTATTTAATGACATAGATCCATGGATATTTTTGTGTTTGCAATATTTGTGTAGTTAAGATTAGTTATATTGACGGATGATTATTGGTAGTCTCTTCATCCTTTGAATACAGGCGAGACAAATTCGCGTTGTATGAAGATAAAAAAATGAAGAAGTCATACTGCATAGAAATGTATTGGGTGTAATGTAGAATTATGTATTCCGGATTATTTCAAAGATTTTCAGAATTTAAAAGCATTCTGAATACTGTATTTACTTTAGAAAGAGATACTGATTTCGAGTTTCGTCAATTTTCACTTTTTTTTCAAAAAACTTCTCTACTGAAAAAGTTAAATTTGCGTAGGTGCGGCTGTGACGGTTGTATGGGTGACTGTGAAGGTGAATGTATCTAGGTAATATTATGAATGAGAGTGAGGGTGTGATTGCGGTTGGATCCACATCTTCTACCACTCATACCTTTACACCGCTTCACTCAAAAGTGAATGTAAGTTACCCTAAATATTTTCGGCAAATCATGATACGAGTGTATGTTTTACAATGATCCATTATTTCAGATGTAGATTTAACGGAGATGTGGACTATAAAAATTGATGCTTGGACCAATTATTATTCAAGAAAAACAAATTCAGCCCATTTCCGACACTCTTCAATCTCGAAATTTCACTTTTTCCTTATGAACATTAACACAACGAAAATTTTCTCACTTCGACATGAAACCTTGTATCTACTTGGATTTTTCTCAGTACTTGTACTCTTTAATTGGAGATGTTTAGATTTTGATTACAAAAGAGAAAGAAATCAACTGATGAATAAGACACACTGCAAAGGAATTTTCCTTTTCTATATCGTTTTTCTTCTGCAGAGAAGAATTGCTCATTGAGACTTATTACTTTTTTTATTCGCTGCTTTATTGTCTCATTTTTCGTTTTCATCCCAATAGTTTTACTCGTTGATGACTAGTCGAATGAATCACGACGAAGAGAGGAAAAGAAATAAAGTATATATTAAACTAAGATCTGTTATGTTCCACATCTTAATTGCGTGATGTGTGTTGTGAGTTTTTAATTGATTATTCAAAACGTGTTAGCAGCGAGTCATTGATAAGAGGAATTAGATAACTTTCGAATGCCGGCAGAATCAAAAGAAAACAAATATTTTTTTTTACGGCTGATGATAATTTTCACTTTTGATACCGTTCTATTTCAATTGTCAGTTTCAAGGATGCAAGTAAATCGACAAGATCAGGATACAATATAGTAAATATTGTTCTATTACCATAATTGTAGATATTTGTTCTTTAAAGCGATTAGAATGGGTAAAAGGGAAATTATTAACCAACGGTCAGGAATCACAGATACTATGAGGATAAATATATTGGCCATATTGCGAACTTCGATTGATACACATGGATCATCAACATCAAAGATGTATGAAATTTGTCAAGATGTGAAGAATTGGTTTGATGAAACTTACGGAAACTGCTGGTGTGTGACAATTGGTAACAAAGGAGCATGGACAAGCTATTGCACAAGCAAGGATAACAAGTTTTTGTACGTCGCAGAAACCGATTTGAATTGGGGTATACTCGTCTTTCAACAAGCTGGATAAGAAAAAGCAAGATTTCTTCTACCAATTGCACTATATGTAACAGAATGACAAGAATACAATTTTAGAACTGAACATCTGATTATCTAAGGTTGTGAGCGTGCGCGTGCGTGTACATGTGGAGGTGTGGATGAGTCGGTGTGCTTGCGGATGTTCTATTCATCCACTTCCACAGTCATACTCACCCCTTGATTATTTATTCTCAAAAATACTCTAGATAAAAAGACAATATCATATTGCGGATCAGTTTTTTATTGACTCCATATTATGTATGTAGTTCTTTGGAAGCTCAGATAAGATCTTTACAAAATCTTTACAAATTAAAATTTTAAAATACCTTCTTATCGATGGATGGTGAAGAAATGTGCCCTAGTTGTAGTTCATAAATAAGTTTCGATTTATGAATAAATTTTTTAGAAATATATACTGAAGAAAAATTACTTTCTTACTTTAATAAGCATTGTTCAGGGTGTGAGTGGGGGATAGGACATCCTCACACTTCATGCACACTCACTCTGGAAAAGATACAAAGTCTTAAAATCACGTGTAAAGTTTCTGTTAATGTGTCAGTCTTCTCAGAGAAAAAACAACTTTCACTCAATCGTAAAGAATTATTTAGATTACTTCAATAAAAAGTACCATTAACTTCAAGCATGTATGGAGAAAATGACATAGAATCAGTAAATTGTTGCTGTTATAGATCCACGATAGGAAAATGTTGATGAAGATCATCTAAATAATATTGTTGAAGATAAAAGACGATAACTGAAAGAAGATACTTTCAAGCATATATCTCTGACATAGCTGATATCGATATGAAAATAAATAATAGATATACACCTGGCTGTTCTAGAAAATTAGTTGTCAACTTTGCCATATTACGACTTTTTATTTCTTATCATTATTGTCGATAACATTTGTTTATGCCTTATGTGAATAAAAAGAAAAAAAAAAGTCTCACAGTCACAACGTCGTTTTGCATTCACTATATGGTAACATGCATGAAAATAAACTTTTATTTATTTGGTGCATGGATTGCGAACTATACCCTCATCGCAAAACCATGTATTACTTGGATGTTGTAAGCATTACATGCGCACATTTCTTACCAGAGGAACTTCTATCATTTAGTTATTTCATGACATAGAACAAATTCTAACAATACGATTCGTATATACATACAAATAGTGTGCGATAGTCTATAATTGGAGAAATAATAAGATAACCACATACCGTCTACTAAGTAGTAACTAAAGAAACCATTGAGTTCTCGTATAATTTTATCTGGTTTATTTTTGAAAATCACATAAAAATGTGAACAGATCCTCGCTTTGAAATATTCAATAGTGAGGAAACTTCTGAAATCGGAAATTGAATTAGTTTAGAAGCTCTTTCAAATTTTAATTTGATTTAATCTACGGCGCAAAAGTCTTGATACAAAATATTCACTAACTTTTCGGGCACTTAAAGACAACTGATTGTTTACCCTATCTAAATATGCATTCAAAATTTCCTTCTGAGGTAAGAGTGATCAATTATCAGTAACGTTTTTGAAAAGATCTAAAATGGTGTCTGTACAATGTAAAATAGCGACTTTGTCCCAATCCTTAGTTTCCATATTTTGGGCTTTGAAACTGCTTAAACTCGACATTATTGTAGATGAAGAGTTAGTTTCGTTAAAAATTCGTTTTCTTCAAAAGTTACTTTAAAAAATACAAAAGTTATAAAATATTTCATGCAAGATAAAATAGGAAAATAAATTGCACGTTTTGTAGAGCAAATTTTAATTCAAAAAAACAAAACGTTAAAAAGTGTTGCACATTTTCAATTTGATAGATTTTAATCGAAATACATAATTGACTAAAATAATACTCTGTATGACCACTATTTTGAATCCTTTCATACAAGTAACTAATAGTCGACCAACTTAACTCCAGAAGTAAATTCTGAACATATATAAAAAAGAACAAAAAAAATTTGATTATATGTAGCTGCTGTTGATTCTAACCAATTGTCTTCACGTGACTGAAAAATGAGTGAATATTTTGTACTAAGACTTTCGCGCCATTGCTTATGTTCCATACTGAATTGTTTAACTGATCATTTTCAACATTAGCTAATTATGTAAACGAGAAAGAAAACCTACATTGACACAGTTTATTCATATGTCTAATAAGAAAAAAGAAAATCAGCCCATAAAATATATTCCAATGATATCGTATTTTTCACCATATTGAAAACTTAATTACCCTATCTCGTAGAGAATTCAAATAAGCTGTACAACATTGAGTACGTCGTGGACTATTGAAAAAATAGCTTACGATGAGCTCTTTTTAAACAGATGTAATCATGAATCGTTCTAAAATTATGCCTATAACATTCGTAATATGTTGTTTAATTAATAAATAGTGTTAGTGGTCCCAAGAAGTATGCACAGACAGAAATTCTTCGTGTTTTTCTCATTTGTGAGCTAGTCACTACAATAGCCTCGAGTATGAGACGATTATTACATACTCTTTATAGAAAATGCAGATATTTTGACCGTTTGATGATATCAGCTCTGATATAATTGACAATAATGCTGCAATTGATAGGCTGGACAGTGAGGGCATCATTATCAAATGTATCAATTTTTCACTTCACGTTTTTGTATAATACAATGATAAGATCGTCTCGTCATATACTTGTTGCTCAATAGAATCTTTATATTATGTACAAGCATATATTTGTCAAGGCCATTGTCCCATATACATAGAAAAGCTCCATTTGCATGTACATACAGTTTACACGATTCAATGACTTCAACCTTTCCATTTTGTACGTGTACAAGCTCTCAGTCTTCATTACGAATATCCATGCTATACATAATTAGTTTTATATGCTCTTGTATTTTTGTCGGGTATTACTTCGTAGAAGAAAGTTTTTTTTGCTTCTTTTCAGAAGTAACAACGCATAAGGTTAAAATCAGAATAAAATAATTAGCGTGACCGCTTAAAGAAATTGTCCTCTCAAGCTTTGTATTAGAAATCCAATCATGTTATTCATAATCTTGTCATTATTATTATTTATAAATCCACTTCTCATATCAAGTTTAAATAATGGCTTAGCTTTAACTCCTCCAATGGGCTGGTCTACTTGGAATGTTTTTCATTGTGATTATACTGAAGAAGACATCATGGAAATGGCTGATATGTTGGTTGCGAGTGGAATGTTATCAGCAGGATATAAGTATTTGAATATTGATGATTGTTGGGAAGCATCTTATCGTGATCCAGTAAGTGGAATGTTAAAGTATAATGAAACACGATTTCCTCATGGTATGCTAGCTTTATCCGATTATATTCATTCGAAGGGTTTATTATTTGGAATTTATTCGAGCTCTGGTGAAAGGACATGTCAAAACTATCCTGGATCTTGGCAACATGAATTTCTTGATGCAGCATTATTCTCTAGTTGGAATGTTGACTTTTTGAAATTAGATTGTTGTTATCAAGATAATATTAAAGATCGAGCTACAGCTTTTATAAGTTGGTCAAAAGCATTATTAATACAAAATCGTTCAATTGTTTATAGTTGTGATAGTGATGAATTAATATTAAATGAAAATAATTTAGAATTTCCATTTCAATGGGCTCCTGAATATTGTAATATGGCTCGAATTTCGTGGGATATTTATGATGAATGGAAATCAACATTAAGTATTATAGATCGTGCAGCAAATATCTATTATGCTTCTCAACCAGGATATTGGAATGATTTAGATATTTTAACAGTTGGTTTAGGAAAACAAACAATAGAAGAATATACTTCACAATTTTCGCTATGGGCTATAATGAGTTCACCCTTAATTGCAGGAAATGATTTAAGAATAATGACAAAGGAAATTGCAAATATTCTAACAAATAAAGAAGTTATTGCAATCAATCAAGATAAATTAGGTCGATCAGGCAATATGATTCGACGAGCATTAGATGGATCATATGAAGTATGGGCAAAACCAATTTATTATGAAAATATATCACAAGTTTATGATATTAATAATATATTACGTTTTAATCCTTTACCCTTTCATGGAGTTGTCCTATTAAATCGATTGAATATCACAGCTAATATAACATTGGAATTTAACGATTTATTCGATCATCATTTAAGTCCCCATCCACCTACTCCAATCTGGACTGTCTCCATTCGAGATCTTTGGCTTCATCAAGATTTAGGAGAGTTTGTGGAAAATTGGAAAGCTATCAATGTACCAGCACATGGTGTTAGAATGATTACAGTTTCATTACTCAATGCGACAAATTTTCATCATTAATATGAATCATAATTTATATGTGCTTCATTTCATGCTTATTGTTTTCATATATTTTGTAATTTTTAGACATCAAGTCATTACTATTAGTTGAGTAATCATTATCAACTAATGTTTCTTTCTAGTAGAAGGAATGCCTGTTCTTAATACACTAAGGTGCTTTACTGAGTGTGGGTGTGAGGGTAGGGCTGGATGTAGGTAGGGTGTGAATGTAGGTGTTTAGACAAGAGGGGTGTGGGTGTGGGTGTGAGGTGTGGGTGTGGGTGTGGGATGTGGGTGTGGGTGTGGGTGTGGGTGTGGGTGTGGGTGTGGGTATAGGTCTTACTATTATCACTCACACCCACACCCACCCACACTCACACCCATACTCACACTCACACCTGTTTCGACCTTGGTTCCTAGTATCTATCATTCATAGAAGTCATCTTATCAGCAACTAGTCAAAAAGAGATATTTAAGAGAGAGTCCACGTCACGACCATCCTAGGTCGCCGGAGAGAAAAGCTTTGTTTTTCAATTTAGTTATCCTATATGAAAGGTCTAGTCAAACCATAATCAAATCCGAAATATTAGGTGATTTGGTTTTACATATGCAAAACGTGAGCTAAAACAAGTTGAAAGGGTCTATTTCGACCCTAAAAAATCGTTAAACGCGAGTGTGCTCAGTATTTTAACGTTTTCTTGTGAATGGCTCTATTCGAAAGCTACAAAACCATACAATTATCAAACTCAAAAAGCACTGAGCACACCTATTTTTAGCGACTTTTTTAGGATTAAAATAGACACTTTCTAATTACTTGTTTTAGCTCGAGTTTTTTCATCGGTAAAATCAATTGATTTAATATTTTAGATTTGGCTATGGTTTGACTAGATCTTTCATTTGAGACAACTACATCGAAAAACATGATTTTCTTTCTGGCGACTTAAGGTGGTCCTCTCGAGAACTTTCTCTTACAAGAAATATCAATTGGAGAAGTTAAAAATGGAATTTCTTTTTTGAATAATTTTAATGACTTATTTCCTTCTTGATCAAAAGTTGAAAACTAATGATTCGAAAGCGTTTGGAAGGTTTGATCAAATAAAAAAATACGTTCGTATGTAGAAATAGAATACACGTGATAACCTTTCTTTTTGTCCTCAAGGTTTTCTTTGTGTCCGCGGCGTTATTTTTCTTGTTCTGTTGTTTTTGTAGATTTTTCTCTTTCTATTCTGGTGTATGTTCTACCATCGTCTCTCAATTTGTCTATATTCTCTCGTAGATAAGCAAAGAACAAAGAAGAAACGATTCGAATGCATATGTGCTAAGCGTAAGAATGGCAATTAGACAATTTGAAGATTATAAATCAACGCACATTGATATTGAATTGGATCCGAGTGATCTAAATACATCGGCTCCTCGTCTCATTTGTTCAGTCAAAGTAGACTGAATCAACAAGACAATTCGTTCAAAGAAGCTTACCGATGGTTTTTCGAACACGCTGCTTGTCATGTTTCTATAGACGGAAGATGAGCAAGCATTCGTTGTTTGAATTTATGGAGCCAATTCGGATCTTATTGTAGATCGAGAAGCTGGAATTCGAGAAATGATTCGACTCTCTCAATATGACATGGCCAACAAAGTATTACTCACGTTTAACACTGGATTTATCTATCCATTTATTGCTGATGAACAGATCAATATTCAAGATGAGAATATCACGTGAGTTACACATTGAGTAACAACTGTTCTCTTCATGTATATATGCTGATTCAACTTTCAACATTTTGAAATATTGCTTTTTTGTGGAGGTTCACAGCATAACAACAGAAAAAAATATATTGCTGATTTTCAGTCATTTTCAAAATTTTGGTAAATCTTGCGAATTTTTTCGACTTCTGTTGACTTCGAAGAAATGCGTAAATTAGATTAAAAATATTTTTCGAAGACTCAAACTAAAAATAAACATTTGTTGACTGTCTACATTATTTGATATTTTTGTAAAAAATGTATGTGATCTATGTCAGCAGAATGGTGACATGCAGACTGGCTGAATACCATTCTATTCCATTCATTGATGAATTTTCGAAGAAAAAAGCTCTGCTTGTTGAAAAGCTTCATCACTACCTCAATTTACTCAATGGAACATTGAATTCACATTCGAACAAGACTGGTCCAATATCCCAGTGGTCTTCTGTCACAAAGGTACAGAGGGTCGAAATTTTCTTCTTGACAAACAAACGAACACTATTCGAAAGCTCGACTTCGAACACTGCACTGAAAACTTCTATCTTTTCGATATCACCAATTACTTTGTCGAATTCGTTGGCCTTGATTCATCACCCACTGGGCAAACACCTATCCAAATCTGGAACTGAGAAAGACGCTCCTAGCTGAATATCTCAAATCTGCTCGCTTCTTATCTCTCTCAAGTGATGAGCACGAACTGGAAAAACTGTGTGATCAGTGTGTGACCGTCTCATTACTCTCACTCACCTCTATCGGTCAATGTAGACTTTACTTGAAGCAATGCTTAATCCTGAATCGTTGACTCAATTCGATTATGTTTCCTGTGCTAAGAGCCGCTTCAATCAATACAAATTGCACAGGAACAACTTTTTCTGCTTTGTGAATAGCTCATTGTCCTTCCGAATTCATCATTGAATAAATAATACTTCTGCTAACTTTTTTAGACCTATTCATTTTTAGGTTTTTTAGAACATTTCTTTTGCTGTTCAATTCATATTGTAGAAGAATAAAAGTCGATACGAAGACAAGAGAAATGTTAGCGATGTTTCGAATTGAGAGAGATGCAAAATGAAGCAATAAATGATACTCATACACGAAAAAGAAACATTGGTCATTGTTTCTTGTTTCTGTTGAAAATATCGCTCCTTCTGGTTTTGTTTAATGACCATGCGCTCATTAGAGTGAAACTGAGTATTTGATAGAAGCATGAGAAAATCGCAGATAGTATCCTTCTTCAAAGTACAACTATGGGAGAGTATACTTCGTTCGAAAAATTTCAAAATAAATGTTTTGGAGTCGTTTATTATTGAATGAATAAATGTAGTCTATGCGATTAGATAAAGTTAAGCAACAGTATTTGTACAACAATGATATTTTATCTTGAAATATATGTGAATTACATATGAAACATTGCATTATCGATTAACACTTAAATCAAGATACGAACCTAAAATTTTCGAAAAAAATATATAGAAAGTTGTTTTATTTTACAAATGTGTAAGAGCAATAAGCTGGAGTCGGAAATATTGATTTGCCATTTTTCGATAAAAAGTGCGCCGACAATATCACGAATAACAATATGTGTTGAAAAACGACTTGAAAACATAGATTTCATAGCGGTTATGTTTCTTCTATTGAAAACAACAATAGGCACTGTTGTAACATAATATTGGAATCCATTAATATATGTTTCGTTGTATAAGCATTCTAATGTTGACTGAATCAATATTTCGACTACAGAACAACTAATATTGACTTCCGAAATTGTAAAATTTTCGATATTAGAAAATGATGTATAGATACCTCCTAGACTCTGAACAATCACTTCTCATTCCACAAGAACATCTGTTATTTAGCGGCATTATAGCTCGTGTCGAAATTGTCTGCTATAAATCGATATTTTTTGTTGACCAATTCCAATTTAACAAATAGGTAGATATGAAACTATTATTGTCTATTATATCATGTGTAAGTTGCAGGACATGAGCAAATTAAATGGGTTTATTACTTTTAAAAGTGACTAGTAATTACATTCATCTAAAAAGTAAACTGTGATTGAGGTATTATTTGACCAATCACAAACAACATATCCAAAATTTGATCAAATGCGTTTTCAATAATTGTTTATGAGAATTTGTTCATTTCGACAGAAAGCCGAAATATGCAGTTTCACGTATACGAAGGTCGGGTCTCTCTTGACAACTCCAGAGATCGTTGCCAAATAGAAATTCGAATCATGTCTCACCGACGAAATTGGTTGAACATATTTGATGACAAGTAGTATTAATCCTGATGAAGTCCTTATATGCGACAAAAACGTGAGTTTGCTCGTTGTTTAATAAAAAAAAGTCATCTACTCTACAATATCGAACCAATTGATGAAAAAAACAACTTTTTCAGAAAAAACGGATGTGTTATTGTTGGATAAATTGCATGAATGATTGTCGAACAAGTTGACATTTATGATAAACGTTTGAATTCTGTGAGACAAATTTTTTAGACGAACTTGAATTGATAATCCTTTCAAAACAAAATCATAAAAATAAGATGCATATACAACTCAAAAAAATCAAAAAATCTTACTCTTATGATTGTCAGTTTCATCTTGTATAGATTGTTTTCGCTTCAAAAATAAAATAAGATCAATCAAGTATGGCGTTGTTCTTACCCAATACTACATTAAATCCGCCAGGAAGCGCTATAACAGTTGTTGCAATATAAATCTAATCAAATGGATGGGAATAAGTATAACTACAATAGACAGGAACATATTGAAAACAATATAAATTGTAATTAGTTTCATTGAGAATTTGTTTGATAAAAAATTCATTGATAAGTATATCGATGGTTGTTGTTGGTGTGAAATGACTTGCCAAGAATTTATTTAGTATCGAAATATTGATGCTATTTGGATAAGCTATGAGCAGAATATCAAGACATGACTGATTATGGAAACATCCTAATGATGAACCAAGTATCGTTTGGAATGTAGTGGTGAAGGTTCACATGAAGGATGTTTTCGCGCTTGCTGAGTAATATTTCGTATTAGAACAACACCATCAACTAAATAGAACACAAATAATATTTGTTTTTCTTCGTTTTTCAAAATTATTCTTTCTTACATCCCATGACGAGATTGATCAAATGAAGTTATTTTTACAACTGATTGATATGCATGTAGTGACGGAGTAGAAGAAGGGATTACTTGTGAAATTAATGGTCATTTAACTTTTACTGTTGGTCGACCAATAGCAGATGGTTTCAACATTGTGATATTAAATTGATTAACCGTGATAGAAGAGCTATATTTGCTCTTTCATTTATATTTGATCGATTGGTAGTTGAATTTTGCATATTGCTATTAATTCTATCTCCAATAATCGGCACACTTCTATTATTAGTAACCAATTTTTTTAAAAGTGTCGATCTTGAACTTTTCAACTTCATTGAAAAGATCAGATCGATCGACGCTAGCCATCATCGACGTTAGTGGTAATGTCGGTGATAGCATCTGAAAAAGAAAGTTTAGAAAGTTTAATTTTAAAGCTTGTTTAAATTCACTAACTAATCTAAAATGTAACTACACAACAAGAAAGGTGAATAATAAAATAAGAGTTAGTACGTAAAAAAAACACACGATATTCATATTTTTTTTTCTTGTTCTAAAACACAACTGTAAGTCGGCAAATAGTCGAGCACGCTACACCCAAATTCCTTATAAGATAAATAACTATAAAAACAATCTTTTTTTTTTGTACTAAAATAAGAATAAAAAAAAAATTACAGTACAGACTATATTGAGATAGATTACGTGTGCTTATTTTGCGTACACATACTGTTATATGAAGAAGTCCTTGAAAGCAATAATAATGAATAAAAAAACAAAAGAAAGATTTGTTCTATCACAACATATAAGTTTGAACTGAGCTTTATTGTTCAAGCAAAGTTGTTTAATTAAAGTTGTTGTTGTTGTTCGGGTACAGATAAATTTTGTTTTGAAAATGATAAAACTCCCATTTCTAATTGGTGTTTTGTTGGTTGTTGACGACGTTCTTTTCGTCGTCTTAATATTGGGATAGCAAATAGAATAAGACCACTTAATAAAATTGAACCACCAAATATTAAATATGGCCAAAGATAAGGACGATCGAAACCCGAAAATGCATCACGCATTGTACCTTAAACAATTGAATATATTGAAAGAAAATTTTTCTTGATTGTTTTTTCTTACCAACAATTGGTGTTCCAATAGCAACAGCAACACCTTGAAATAATAAAAGAACACCAAAAGCATCAGATAATTTATCAACACCAACTAAATCTACAATAATAATTGATGTTAAACCAACATAACCACCAGAAAAAAATCCAAATAATCCAGCATAAATCATATGTGTTTGAACAAGAGAATTACAAAATGGTGCAAACATTGTAGCTATACCAGCAATTATTAATGTTGTATTGTATAATATTAAACGATTAACCTGAATAAAAAAACAAAAAAGAAAGAATAAATTATATAGAAAAAGATTTTGTTTTTTTTTGTTACCCATGATCGATCAGCTAAATAACCAATAATAACTCGACCAAAACAATTGGCAACACCAATTGACATAATAATCCAATGTCTTTTATGTTCAATAACTTTAGCATCAGCAGCTAAATCATTAGCAAAATTGTATGGAACATTAAAACCAAGACTTGTTAAAAAATTTGATACGGCAAATAAAGCAAATGCAGCATCTTTTAGTAAACTAAGATCAATTTGTTCAGCAATTTTTGCCAGCAATGATTTTTTTTCAGCTTTCTTAATTGTTTCATTTGTTTTTATCATTTGACGATGATATTCATCCGTATCTTCATTATACAATGGAATATTATGTAAACTACCTTGATATATTGAATCTTTGCGTGACACTACAACTGGTACATCAGTCGCTACTATTTTAGATACATTTTCAACAGATCCTGAATGAGTTTTCTCTGTTCGATTATTAATATTGGCATCATCTTTCTTGAGATCCGATAGAGATACTCGACGTTTATCATCAGTTTGATATTCTTGTTCAAGAGGAACAACAGCAGATGATTCTCTCGGAGCTATACTTACTTCTTGTAATGGAATATCACTAGAACAAAATACGAATTATTGGTGAATCATGGACAACGAGAGACTATGAGTATCTATTGCATTAATTTAAACCATAGTTACAACTATATAAAATTTGGAAACATAACTCTGAAGAGTAAATCATCATCCTTAATTGGACTCGTATCTTAAATATTTGTTTCTAACATAGTTCCTCTTATTGAAAGAATAAAAATAAATACCTACAACTCCTTCTACCTTATAGACAAATATTTACAGAATTAATTATTGTTAAAAGCATTCATCAAATATGATTTAATCAAATAACAAATCTAAATTTCAAACCTTTGTTTATTGGTTGGAAGTAATTGATTTTGTTGTTCATCATTTTGACTTGTTGCAGTTGCCGTTTTGAGCGCTTGTCGTTTAGCTTGTGATCGTGCTTTTTGTGCCATACGTCTTATTTCACTTGGTTCTTGTGGCAACGGAATCTAAAGAAGATTTTATTTTTAAATTTATTAATTAACATATGAAATACCATTAAAGCGCCAAAAATAACACAACTAAATATAATTGCTGCCTCAAGTAGAAGAGCACCTTCATAATCAAACCACAATGGTGCATTTATAACATATGGCATAATCGCTGGAAATACCAGTGTACCCAGGCCTGAACCACAAACTGCAATACCCATAGCAAAAGAACGTTTTCTTTCAAAATAGAAACCGACAGAAACAATAGCTGGCAAATAGATTAAACCAAAACCAAGGCCTATTAACATATAAATCTACGATTACCAATACACCAGAATTTCTTTCAAAACATACCTCCAATAATGCCAATTGTAAGATAATAATACCAAAGATTTGCCCAAAAGTAACTTGCTAAAAAACCAGTAGCAGCAAGACAAGCCCCAACTATGGTTATTATTCGACATCCATATGTATTTGTAAATATCGTTGCAATAGGTCCTAAACATTCACTATTAGATAACAAAATTGATCTCGAACGAAAAATTATTCACCTGTAGCAAGTGTTATTGCCGGTAAAATTCCAAAAATAGTTGAAACAGGTCCTCGAGTTTTATTTAGATTATCCATCATAGGACGTAAAAATACTTCGCCCAATGAATATGTTATTCTATTATTTTAAAATATAATTAAAATTTACAGAAAACAATTTACTAACCCATCCATTATAAAATGTATCATCAGAGACGCAAATACAATAATCCATCCCCATCCACCATCGGGCACAACAGCCCCAGGAACTGCACTATTTGTGTTACCGCCACCCGTCATTTTTAGTCTTTCATTCTGCAAGAAGAAAAAAAAAACAAGAATAGATTAAATGGCAAGACAGTTGTGCTTCTCACTGCCGATTAGTTATTTTGCCATTTTTTAACAATAGCAATCAAAAGGTTAGATAACAATCACTTGCTACTTTTATAAAAGAAAAAAACGTTAAAACAATGTAAAAATTGAAATGCATATATCTTTATCAGCTCTGCGTAGATATTAAAATCATGGTAACAATTCATAACATAAACAATTACTTTCCTTCCTTTTTTTAATCCTCTTGCTCATTTTCTTCGCCTTCTGCTAGTCTTAAGTTGAACACTCAGTTCTTAGTCGTCATCGGTCTATTCTTTACAATCGTGTTTTGATGATGATGTGATTAACATTATGTAATCGTATCTTCCCTCATTTTATACTCACCTCTGTTCTCCTTTTTTTTCTCAACTCATCGGTAAGCGCTTCAGAGCATCACGAATAAAAGATGCAAAATAAAAAAAAAAACTTCTGCGCATATATTTAAGCGTAATACATACTTCTACCCTTTCGTCGCTATTCAAAGTAAAAGAAGGAAAAGAAAGAATCTTTTTTTTTCATTCGATTACGATAGAAGAAAAAAGAAACATCGAAAGGTTATTTTTAAAATAAGAAAAAATTTTTTTGTGCTTGAAAGAAAATATAAACAATCAAATAAAGATTATTTAAATTTTTTTCGCAATTGATGTCAACGTTGAATAACTGATGTTAATGATTTCTACAGCGATTTATAATCATATTTAAAATAGAAACAGAAAACAAAGAATCAACTAAGAAAATTTTTTCTTTTTTTTCTTTTTTTTCTTTTTTTTTGTTCTTCTGAGCGTACGTGTCGAACAGTACCGATCTAGATGTGCTAAATGATCAAGATAATGGCAGCACGTTGTTGCACCGAAAAGATTAATGGACACTATAGATACAAGAGTCTATAGAATATTGTTGTCACATGTGTTTTATATGATTAGAAAAAATAATTTGTTCTACTGATTTAGCAGAGAAAGTAAAGAAAGGAAGAAATGTTATCGCTCACTATGCATCAGGAAATTGTGTACAAATGTCACCAAGTAATTCCATTATAGAATCAGACTATAAATAAGAATTGATAACATAGAACATGCTGATATCATACGAAGAATACATTCTATCAAAATTAAACAGAATTTCTTTTAGAAGAAAATTTTATGCACGTTTATTATAATATGAATTGATTATAAAAGATAATATTTCAGAAATCTACGAAAAACTATTAAAAAAATATTTATAAGAATGACATTATTATGTAATACGGAGAATTTCTTGTTTTCACATTGTAGTAAAAGAACAAGATAATTATTACTCGAATCTGTCTGATGTTAGATTAACGCTCTTCGTCGACATATATTAAACAGATACAAACAACTTTTCCAGAAAATATAATAATGACATTTTGTTTTCAAAAGACTTTTTCATTTACCCGTGTTCTGTTGATAGGATATGAGTACAGATAGAGATGAGGTTCGGATCTTGCTCGCAGGCATGTGTATGTGTAGAACTTCTCTTCATCCAGATCCAACTTTCACATTGACATACGCATCAAGATTCGCGCCCCACATCCACACTCATATCTACATACCAACACCGTCGTTCAAAAAGGACATCTCCCTCGTAGTTTGTCAGAACGCTGCGATGTTTGGCAATAAGTCAATAGATCCATACACTAGCATAGGTAGTTAATCGTGCACCACTTTTGAATATCTCTTCTCTTCCTTCTGCAGTTTTTTTCCTTTTTTTCAAACTGAAGGTAAGAAACAGATTGGGACATGCTTGCTACAAGTGAAAAATGAATAATTCATTTTAAAACAAACATGTACAACAAAATAAAATGCGTCTGATTTATGTGTTAGTCGTGATAATGTTGTAAACTGTCTTACAAAATTTGTCGCAGTCGAATGTATCCCACGGTTCATGTAGTGTAGCGTATATGTTAAATATTTATTTGTTGTTTTGTTTTTCGCATACAATTATATATACCTAGGACTGTGTAGTTTCAATTTACTCATCACTGATGTAACCGATAAAGTGTTCACTGAGCACTGATTATATTGTATCGATGTTACTGAGAGTGTGACTGAAATGACAAGGAAATTTAATGAAAGATCGACCTTAACTACAACACTAATGTTCACTCAGTACTGACTACACTGATATGTTGGCCTTCAGTAGAACATGGACATACCGATTCCGTCAGAGGATACACCTTTGGTGCTTTTATTTATAATCCTCAACGAAGAATAGTGAAGTGAGCGCATCGAACTTCCGTAAAAATATCATAAATTTGAGCTATCTATAAATTTGAATGATGAGAGTGCGATGTAGGCGTGTAGATGTAGGATATTGGTGTGGGTGCTCACTAAAAAAAAAATTGTCATACTGAATCTTAAAAGGTTCTAGATTTGAATACCATTTTAAGAACTTTTAAGGTTGTAGCACAATCTAGTTCTATCTCCAACCTTTTTTCTTCTTTCAAAAATGGTTCTAACTTGCTAAAAAGCAGTTCATTCAATACACTTAGTCTAGTACCGTTGATTAATTCTATATCTAACATCTTATTTCTATCTCTAACCTCTTATTGCTATATCTAATTCCTTATTTCTATCCTTAATCCCTTAGTTATATATCGTACTGCTTTTTTCTTTATCAAATGCATATTTCTATATTTAATCCGTATATCTATATCTAAACTCTTATATTAGAGTAATTTGAACGCGATGAACGCCAAGTGAAGTGAAAAGGAAGATGTTTTGATAGTTTAAATCTGCCTGGTAAAGAAACATTCCATCATATGAAAAAATTTAGCAAACTTTTAGATTAATATGTTCAAACAATCAATGCCCCAAAAGCTATCGTGAAGCTATGATTGTAGTGATTCATTAAATTCAAACAGACATAGCTATTAGCGGAGAGAACCCTTTGATTCAGCTTGGAAAATGCTGAGATCTCAAAGTTTTAGTAAAAAAAACATTGATGGCGATATAATCAATGGTTTTCATAGTGGGCTCAAATATTGCTGTGCATGCAAAAGTATAAAGTGTAAATGCACTAATGAAGTATGCCAACGCGATTGCGTGGTGAAAGATATAAAGATGAAAATAGGAACGATCCAGATTGGTCGTGTTTTTGGTTAGTGAACAACCATCTCTATTGTGGAGAGCCGGAAAAAATAGTTTAATATGAAACCTTCTAACCGCAGTAGTTTGAAGCGGTTCACTACGAAGCTTCTTCTATTACGAAATCTGGAAGAGTTTTCATACGAAACCTATAAGATTGTGTAACTTTTAATGAGGTTTCCTGGATTTGGACGATACTGCAAAGGTATAGTAAAGTTCGGCGAAACCAAGAGGATCCGTTTGGTACCTTTTATTTTCAATGCAGTTCAGGCGGCTTGCGCTAGAATCATCTTTGTAAAAGAAGTTGAACATAAAAAAAGTGGTACGCGATAAAACTCTTCTAAATCTCTGAAACCATTTTTTGTCTGTCATGATTCTTTATAAAAGATTGGTGCGACATAGAGCTCTTCCAAATCTCTGGAACTATTTTTTATTTGGCATGGTTCTTTAAATTATCTAAAACCTTTTGATGGTTTATTAATAAACGAATGAAGCCTTAAAAGATTCAGAATCTTCGTTGAAATCCTTAATGATTCCCTATGACACCTTTTGTCTAGAGAGTAGAGAGATGAGACTTTCAAATATCGAAAGAGGAGTTTATGGAGCACTTTTTACAAGGAAAACTTTTTTTTTGAAAGGCGACTTTTGGGGAGATCATTTAAAAAATGTTGTATAATGAAAAAATATTGCAACATTAAAAAAGAAAAGGTAAATGTGATAAAAAAACCTGCAAAAATTGTGACGAATTATTTTGCTGGGAATGTCTGAACCATCAGTCTTTAATGGGAAGGCAATGGTGTAATCAGAGCAAAGTCACTTGCAACTATCATCCACTACGAACATTCATTCCAAGCAAACCAAGATATGTAGAATATGTCAAGCAAAACGATCATAAAATAAAAATGTGGAGTACGAATGTGGGTGTGGATGTGGATAAAGGTAAACTTCACATCTTCTTATAAACCTCGACTAAGATCATATGTCAGAAATACCATTGGTTCATTTCAATTTTCGGTGATATGAAAGAATTGTGCTACTCATGTGCTTCGCTAGAAAATTTCTTCAAACGATAAAATTATATTTTGGGGTGAGTATGGGTGGGTATGGGTGTGTGTGTAGGTGGATAAGGAACTACTCACAGACACACCCACCCATCCGCCCACACCTACATCCCTGTTTGCAGTGTTGATGTAATACTTATTACTGTTAGTCTCGAAAATGATGAAAAAGTGTTGATTAAAACAAATGTTACTGATTATGATATTGTATTTCTTGACTGTTTTAATTTGTTCTTCGATTCTTTTTCTCCATTCGTATAAATCTCGTAACCATTTGAAAATGGTTGTCACTCTGAATTTAATAAAAAATGAACCATCTGACAAAGGGAAACATATTGGTTTTATTACTACTTTCAGGTCATTGTGACTGATCTTAAGGTTCAAAACAGAGCATGGATCCTCAGCTAATAAAAAACAAGACATCAAATTGATTTCTTTTTAATTTTCTTAATAAATATTAATATTTCCATAAATGGTGTCCAAGAAAATCAAAAAAATTATAATCAATTGCTGTTAATTCATTTGCTGATAAATCGTTGCAGTGAATGTGTGATCGAAGATAGAGAAAGGAAAAATACCTCATGTACAAAAAATAGAGAAAAAATCGGATTAAAATCGATTACAATTTGATTAAAAATCGTTTATAATCGCCCATCTTTAATCGATTATAACCGCAGAAACAATTATTCTACTATATTACTCGATTAAAATTCGCAGTAATTATTACAAATCCATCTACGTTGTAGCTACACTATAATGACTATAGTCTACGAACTAGATCGGAATGCTGGTACCTCAATGTCAAAATCCTTATGCCTATATCGTATAACTATATTCCTGCAGCTATATTTTTAAGATTGTATTCTTATACCTATGCCCGTATGACTATACCCTTATACCTATATTCTTATGACTATACTCGTATGGCTATATCCTTATACCTATGCACCTATACCCCCTCTAACCTTGTCAGATGCGGCTAATTCAAAATTAAAGCGGAAAGTTATTTTTGTTTTCTTTGTTTTATGTGAATAGAACTCATCGAGTTACATAGGAAAAATACTCGGTTAGGCATTTGAAAGTTGATTTTCTCTGGAGAAAATTCAAAATAATTAAGAATGGGCTCATATTTGCATATTTCGATTATCAAAATTTTGTTTTCAAATAAAATTCATGTGATATTCAGAATCAACATAAAATACTGAATCGAATTACATAGATTTTATTACAACATATTTTTCATCGAAATTCGATCCCTACTTCTCTTCTGGCTTATTCGAAGTGATTTCATCGCAGTGCTCGCTTAGATCGAATTTCGATGAAAAATATTTTGTAATAAAATGTATGTTATTCGATTCAGTTTTTCATGCTGGTTTCGAATATCACATGCATTTTATTTGAAAACAAAATATTGATGCTAGACATATCCACACATGAGCCCATTTTAAATTATTGTACGGCTACTTATCATTTGCACTCATAAGTCAAAAGAATTTTAAAATATTATTAAAACTTTACACTCCAGTCAACATTAAAGTTAAGAAATAAAGCTATTTATTTTTTCAAAACTACAAAAACTTAATTAATTTAGTTTTCAAGTCTTAATTGATAAATACTCATATTTAACAATTTTCACTTTCAAGTTCGAATCGTATAAAGTTTAGGAAGATGTAGAATTCGCTCTTGTTTTCTAAGCAATTTCTATATTTTGGTTTAGGAAGATGTAGAGTTCGCTAGTGCTCTCAATGCAATTTTATATTTATTTTCGAAAGTTGTAGAGTCCGCTAGAGAATCCAGCATAAGTCTAACTGGATGTAAAAAAGATTTAGAAGTGTCGCGTGTAGTCTGTTTGAAACTAAGTGAATGTAGT